GGGCAAAACTCCAGCCGGTCGCACCGTGGCCGCCGGCGCATGCGCGCTCATGGGCGCCCGGGTGTTCCCCGCCCCCCTGGTGGCCTCGGGCACGAGCGCACGCACCCGTCACCTGCTATGCCCCTAGGGCCATTGACATGTGGGGCCCAGCCGCCTGGAATGTTTTTATATAAAAAAGGAAATAAAAATAAAAAATTAAAAACCAATTAATTAATTAATTAACTAAATTAATGAACTTAATTAATTGTGATTAATTAACCTAATTAAATGTTAGTTAGTTAGTCAGTCAATGACATGCGGGACCCATACGTTAGCTTGACCCAGTCAACACCTCTGTTGACTGCTGGCGTCATGCTAACGTCATGTTGATGCACTAATGCTATTTTCGAATTAATTTAATAATTATTATTTAAAAATTGATTAAAATTTGAAAATTAATATAAAATAATTCGTAGCTCGGATGAAAATACTTTTTACATGAAAGTTATTCACAACGATGAGACGAATCCGAATACGCGGTCTGTTTATCAGCCACACGTCCCAAGCATAGCGAACATGCAACAATCCACCTCCTGTCCATTTGTCCAAAAACGCAAAACACCGGGATATATCCCCCCTTCATCGGTATCGTCTACTACCACATTAGGGCACACCTAGCACCGCTCATTGTCACGTGATGGATCGTCATGCTTATGTTTGCATTATATTATTGTTTCTTCCCCCTCTTCTCTCCGGTAGACTATGAGTCTGACGCCGCTGCTGCCCCAATCGACTACGGTGTTGACGGGCCCTTCTTCTTGTCAGAGCAACCAGGCAAGCCCCCCTCCCTCCCCCGATCACCCGATATCGCCTATTCCTTCTCCCTACTTCTTGCATTAGAGTAGTGTAGCATGTTACTACTTTCGGTTAATCCTATTCTGCTACATAGCTTGTCATTGTTGCTACAACTGTTGATACCTTACCTGCAATCCTAAATGCTTAGTATAGGATGCTAGTTTACCACCAGTGGCCTTACATTCTTGTCCGTCTGCCATGCTATACTATTGGGCCGTGATCACTCGGGAGGTGGGCCTGGTCCTGGTCGGCGTCTGCGGTTGCTTTAAGATAACACACTTAACGGGATCTTGGTATTTGATTTGAGTTGGGTTGTTGACCTTATACGCACTAACAGCCACATGGGACAAGATATGGGCAACTGACATCGTTGTACCAGCCGAAGCCTCCTAGACGTCAGCGACTGAGCAGCGTGTGCCTGGTTGGACCGTGTAACACAACTTCCTTTGTAATGGAGGTTGCTAGGTCTGCTCACTGGTCGCGTACGCAACGTGCAGGTGTGCAATGAGCGATGGGCCCAGACCCCTGCGCATATGATTTAGACCGGCATGCTGACCTCTCTGTTAGTCATAGGTAGGGTTGCGACGTGTTAATCTGCCGAGTCCGAACATGACCCAGGAAAGTGTGCCCGGCCAGAGGAATCGAGCGTGTCGGGTAATGTGGTGCACCCCTCCAGGGAAGTTGATCTATTCGAATAGTCGTGTCCATGGTAACAGGATGACCCAGATTTGTACTTCGGCCTTATGACAACTAGAACCGGATACTTAATAAAGCACACCCTTTCAAGTGCTAGAAACTACCCGGTGATAGCTTTCCCACAGGGCGATGAGGGGAGGATCGCCGGGTAGGATTATGCTATGCGATGATACTTGGTGAACTTACCATCTAATCTCTTCTACATGATGCAAGATGGAGGCTGCCAGAAGTGTAGTCTTCGATAGGACTAGCTATCCCCCTCTTATTTTGGCATTCTACAGTTCAGTCCACTGATATTGGCCCTTTACACAGATATCCATGCATATGTAGTGTAGATCCTTGCTTGCGAGTACTTTGGATGAGTACTCACGGTTGGTTTGCTCCCTCTTTTTACCCTTTCCATTCTTCTCGGACATTGCAACCAGATGTTGGAGCCCAGGAGCCAGACGCCACCATTGACAATGACCCCTACTACACTGAGGGTGCCTAGTACTACATTCAGGCCGCCGATGACCAGGAGTAGTTTAGGACGATCCCAAGCAGGAGGCCTGCTCCTCTTTCGATCTGTATCCCAGTTTGCGCTAGCCATCTTATGGCAACTTGTTTAACTTATGTCTGTACTCAGATATTGTTGCTTCTGCTGACTCGTTTATGTTCGAGCACTTGAATTCAGGCACTCGAGGCCCCTGGCTTGTAATATGATGCTTGTATGACTTATTTTACTTTTAGAGTTGTGTTGTGATATCTTCCCGCGAATCCCTGATCTTGAACGTACACGTTTGCGTGCATGATTAGTGTACGATTGAATCGGGGGCATCACACTTACTCTCAACCTTATATTTGTGTGTGTGATGTCATCTTGATAATAAACATAGCTCTTGAAGACAACCGAGATGATGTGTCAAAAGTATGTCTTGACAGGTGTGCTTCCTCAATCAAGAGTCAGTTGTCCAACAGACAACCCTTACCATCATGTGGGGTTACCTCGATTATTATGAATAAACAGAAGCATCGGGTGTTTATTGACTACACCTCATTCGTCTGCAAGGAATATATAGTTCTCCGCTACTACAATAACCCCTTCTCTCACTATTATTCGGGATATTGTTCTACATCCTCCTCGCTCTTTACCTTCTCCTTGATCAATCTACAGGATATTGGGTACGTGCAGGGCCTTAGAACGAGAGGAAGATAAGAGACAACACCGTTGCAATCAAACACATACAAATAATATCAAATACAGAAAGTCATTCCGATGATCCCTTGAACTAACATATAGGGTTGAGAGACCTTGCCTCTACCCATGTCCTTCTCAAATTACTAACACATGGCGATCATTGCAAGATGAATTCACTGAAGACGACATAAAGATGAATGATTGATTGATAACATGCCTTACAATAGTTGTCGGATGTGATACACCGATTACAAGTATGACTAATTGGAGAGAATGGTTGTGATGATGATGGTGGCGGTGGTTATTAGATGAGATGGGAGATGGCGGCGGCTAGGATTGGAAGATTAGTTCTGGTTCTCCGTTCGTGAATGGTGCTCTTTCTGTTGGTATTCTGGTGAACCCATTATAGAAGTTGGTCAGGTGGACCATCTGGTGCGGATGCCAGCTCATACCATGCGTCGTCTTGCACTCTGTTGAGACAAGTCCGCCTCCAATTGACTTGCCTCTTCTACCAAACTTTGTATTTCCTTGTTTGGGATGATTCCATTCCATGTTTTGGCCCTTTCCCCGTGGAAACACATTAAACAAAGGATTTCTCAATCTCTCGCATTCAATAGTCATTAGTGAGAATATAAGGGATTATCCGTTTTAAACAACGGTGTGATGAGCGAAAAATATCACTCATCACCATATCACAAAGAAATATGACAAATTTAGAGGCCTAGAGCCACAAGAAGATGCGGGATCGCACCAGTGTTAGCACAGACAACACATTGATGCCAGTACAGGCAATCATTGATTTTCCTCCACCTCCATTCCCGCATGTAATACGCCGATGGTGATCAGGCAGATGTGTCATGAAGCCCAACCAATCCCAACAGGATTTGAGTAAGTTATCGATTTTTACGCTCTATGTTGTTGCGTTATTTATTATGTGTTCAACCCGAGTCCTTGTTCGTTTCCATCGACATTGCCTTCAGGCGCCAAAAAACCATGGAAAGGCAATGAGCATGGGAGAAATGAGCGATGGATTGTGTCTCGATACTCCGGCAGCGGAGGAAGCCCAAGTAGAGCATCCCTGGGTGGGGCCGGCCCCAGGCATATCAGAGCTGAGGGTTAAGAAGATGGTCCATCGTCCCTTACAGTTGGGTCGCTGCTCGTAAGGAAGAAATCAAGCTGAGTAACATAACATTCCCTAGATGATAGTGGCACGGGGTAGTGTAAGAACGTATGAGATGTGCCTTTAACAACGGCGACGCATGCAGGGCACGTGGAGTCATGAGCGATGTTCTGGTGTAGCGAGTAGGCTTTGGAGTTTATCTTATCACAAAATGAGAATAGAAGCCAACCAAATATCTTGACCCGGAGTGGTACCCGAGAAGGCCAAATGTTGAGTGCCTTAGCGTTGAGATTAGTTCATACAGATCTAAAATATGTCATATAAAAGTGTAAAATTTGATTATTTAGTGCAAAAAAATGGTATTATCTCTTTACGAATATTTTTTGATTTCTTACACACGTGTCACATAGTAATTTTGGTATTATCTCCATTGAATGAACGGGAAATGTTATCCATACATCATCATATTGTAATAATTCGTCTGTTTAATTAGAGTGTAAAAGATATATTACTCCTTGTTAGACTCCAAAATGCTGAAATTTTGTACATATTTTGCACTAAGAAATTTAATGGCAATACCGAAATACGCCGTACAAAGTGCTCAGCCAAAGGTGCTAGAACTGGGACACTGCGCGCCTCTGCCGAGTAACAACAGACTTCTTCTATCACTTCCCCTAGCTATCATTAAAAGCGTTCAGAAGAGCTCGTCTCCTCTCTCTCCCTCCGCGTTCTTATCAGTACGTTGTCCGCGCCTAGGCACCAAAGTCCAAAGCAACAGCCATAGCTCGATCTCGATCCCCGGCGCGACGAAAGAAAAAGAAGCGGCGGCAGGTCGACAGGTCGATCAACTAAGGTGGATCCCCGGAGGCATGGGAAGAGGCCCCTACCCGCCGACGAGGAGGAGGAACAGCCGCCACCGCCGCCGTCAGCAGCCAAGCACGAGCAGGTGGAGGAGCAGCCGTATCACCACCTCATCGGGCGCGCTCTGCAGCAGCAAGGAGCTGCCAGCGCCTGCGGAAGCTCGGGAGCAGATGTGGCCGACCCTTCCCCGTCACCGGAGGCGTACGCGCAGTACTACTACTCGGCGCGCGCCGACCACGACGCCACCGCCATGGTCTCCGCTCTGTCCCACGTCATCCGCGCCACACCGGACCAGCAACAAGCCTACTACCCCGCCGGATCCGCCGCTGTCTCAGGAGAACAGCAGCATCAGCACGATGCGGCGGCTGCCGCGGCCATCGCTGAGGAACAAGGTAATCAACAATAGCTACTAGCATCCATCGATGTATCCAAACGTAGTCTTCTTTTGTCCGTGTGCACGTCGGATGGCGAGAGCATAGCACGCGCGCCTTCTGCTAGATGAATCGCAGCCATTTGGAAACTTCGAATCATCCAAACACGTCGATATAACTACTAATTTCCTTGTTTTCTTCATCCTAATATGTGGCGAGCTTAATTTAGTGGTAAAATGGCTGTATAAACTCTGGAGAGAAGTACAATAATTTTGCCTGTTTCGTGCACGAAGATACGCTAGCAGCGAAGTGCTTAAATTCAACTCCTCTCCTTATTCAATCCTGCACGAATATTTTATGCGCATACGTACGTGTATAAGTGTATTACGTTAGCTCTGACGAAACCACAAATTAATTATCAATTGTGTTCATCTGGGGGATGTGGCTGCAGGGAGGAAGCGGCACTACAGAGGGGTGAGGCAGCGGCCATGGGGAAAGTGGGCGGCGGAGATCCGGGACCCCAAGAAAGCGGCTCGTGTGTGGCTCGGCACCTTTGACACGGCTGAGGACGCCGCCATCGCCTACGACGAAGCGGCGCTGCGCTTCAAGGGCACCAAGGCCAAGCTCAACTTCCCCGAGCGCGTCCAGGGACGCACCGACCTCGGCTTCGTTGTCACGCGCGGCATACCCGACAGATTGCAGCAACAACAACACTACCCCGCCACCGTGGGGGCGCCGGCAATGCGGCCACCGCCGCACCAGCTGCAGACCGTGGTGCCGTACCCTGACCTCATGCGGTATGCACGGCTGTTGCAGGGCGCTGGCAGTGCCGGGGGCGCTGTCAACCTGCCGTTCGGCGCCATGTCGCCCCCGTCGATGTCCTCGTCGGCGCCGCACATACTCGACTTCTCGACACAGCAGCTCATCCGAGTGAGCCCGGCGTCTCCCGCGGCGGCAATGTCGAGCTCAGGCACAACGGGGCCGTCCACCTCATCGTCCACGACTACGGCATCGTCGCCAGGTGCTGCATGGCCGTACACTGGGGAGCACAAAAATAATAAAGACTCGTGAGAGATCAATGGATCGAAGGTGCTTGCGATCCATCGGGACATGTCTTAGCAGTAGATGAGGAATACGCATGCATTCATCATGCAATAAGGTGGGTAAGTGTTGGTCAATTAATTTTGCTGGTGAACATTTCTTTCCTTCTTCTTATCCCCAAATTTGTTTATCTAAAGCTCTTGTTTTGTTTATTTTTACTTTAATAATGGGTGATTTTTTTTGGCGGGTAATGGGTGACTCTTAACTAGCTAGGTACTAGTTGTACTAAATTAGTGACAAGTAACATAGAACAGAAGGAGACCTTGTTCCTTGGTCTAATCGTTTATCGTTTCTCTTCTCTTTTATGAAGTGTACATAAGTCTTAGATGAAAGTACATCCATTTAGTACCAATACCTTTGGATTGTAGACACAAAACTCAAATCAAATAATTAAATATCAGATGACTTTAGGAACATTGTTTGCAAAATTAAACTCATAGAAAAAAGGGGAACCCTCTCAATTTTCTGACAATTAACCTAAAATTTTGACTTTGTGTGTGCGGATTATTCTTTCATAACCTCTTGCATCGAGCATTTGTTCTTTCAATTTGCCAGCTAGTATGACATATAGCTACGTCCTTGTCAAATGTAACTATATCAACCATGCATTCATGTGCCATAGAGTTCTTGCAGGTATGTACATGCAGCATTTTTCAAACTCAAAGTATGAGATATACTTTCATAAGAAATAAAATGCAGAGAACCGTAACGAGAATATAATCTAGAATATATTGTGAAGGGCATTTTGTATTAAGTGCACATCCATGAGTACCGGTACTAATTACTAAGTTTGCTGAAGTCGTCGCTTGCTTTAATCACCAGATGCTAGCACTATCATGCATCTTCTTTTTTTGCGAGTAAACTACCATGCATCCATATGATGGTGATAATGATACGAACATGCGTCTGACACGTACATATCTTCAGTTTCTATGCAATTTTTTAACAAATACTCCCTCCCGTCTGAAAAAGCTTATCTCAAGTTTGTCCTTCAAATGAATGTATTAACATAAAATTAGTGCTAGATACATTTATTTGAGGGACAAATTTTTTCAGACGAAGGAAGTAGAATATATACATGGGTTTGTAATTTGGTACCCATGTGTTGAGCTTTATTCTACGTACCAACTTCTCGCCGGCATTTATAATAGGATGATACCAACGAAGGTATGGAGGAACTTATAACATATCATCCCCATCCCGTGCTTCTAGAAGAATATGGCCGATATTGTACCGACTAAATGCCGAACTATATGCATGCATGCATGCATGCACTCAACTGCATATGTTTTTCTATTGGCGTGTCAACCCAACTGTCTAGCTAGAGTATGGAGTAGTGGTAGTAGCGTAGCGTCCAGCTATGAATGAAGATACACTCAATTATTTGTCCTTATCTAACACGAAACTGCTTAGACACAGTCCCAACGTTAACATTAACTACTAAAAAAACTCATTCGTTATTCGGCACAAAGATTACTAGCGCCATCTTTCCCTTTGCTTTAATAATGGGTTCAAGCATCAAAATTTGACACGGAGGTTTCCCCTTGGGTTTGGTCGTGCTACTGCATGCTACCTGGCAGCTAGCCGGGACATGAAAAAGGGCCAGCATTCGGTGTTAGGCATGACTTGTAGTGTGATATATAACGTACGTACGTTCAGATCGAATTCAACTCATCATTTATCAAAGGAAAGGTAATGATATCTAAGAGCCGAAGCTTTTTAGACACGCTGTGCCCTTGTGTTCCCCTGGTCTTCCACGTATCCACTATGCATTCATGTCGGATGAGAATGACACCCAACTTTTTATGATCATGTATATATTGTGGGAGGGCAGAAGGCAAAATAGATTAACGACAATCTAACTTGTACTATATATTCTCACAATCTAGCTTCTTGATCACAATCATGTGGCATGCCTAACTAGCTAATCAAGGCCTAGACCTAACATATGCCTAACTAGTATTAGTACTACATATATTCATATGTTGTAATCGTCATTTGGAATCCCATTTTCATGATCGAACCTTGAAGTTGGTTCAAATCGACGGAAGTTTTTGTGCTTCGGGCCGATTCCAACGTGTTATTAAAAATAATCTGGATAGTGATGCGGGGACAAATTGATGTGAAGTATTACTTTGGTGATCTAAAAGATTTTATAAAAGTTTACAAAGGGAGTACATTTTAGCCTCTTGTTCATCATACGTCATATATGTAGATTTCAAGCACATTTACATGATTGGTGTGATATACTCACTCCATCTCAAAATAAGTGTCGTTGATTTAGTACAGTACTAAATCAGCGACACCCATTTTGGGACCGAGGGAGCACTAGCAAATTGTGAATAGGTTTGTTTCCCTCTCTTCATAGAGCACAACTAATGGACGGGCATATCTGGCGAACGTTCACCACAGGATGTGGCATTTGCGAACGTTCACCTGACAGTTGAGAACCTGGGTGTTTTTTTTTTTTTTTGCAAAACTGCCATGGCATCCCTTTTGTGAATCACCACATATTTGTGCGTACAGAAATTATTATCATTTTCCTGTCATCTGAGAGAATATGCACATGCATTGAATGTGAACATGAATCTGGTTCTGTGCTTTACCAAGTCGTACTGTAGAAAGAAGGTGCGGTATCCACGGAATTAGATTGTGCCGTCGTTTTCAGAGACATGCGGAAAATCACCCTTCAGTTTATGCACGCATTCTTTTTTTTTATGCACACATTCTAGTGTACTGTATTTTTTTTGCCAAAAGTGTACTAGTTTTTTTAAAGATTTTAATATGTACGTACTACAAGATATGAATATATATAGACGTAACTTTGAGTGTAGATTCATTCATTTTGCTTTATATGTAATTCATATTAAAATCTTCAAAAAAGCTTATAGAGGAACGGAGGAACCGGTGAATAACGTGCGCGGAGTGGGTGTTCGATACGTCTCCGCAACCCAAACTAAGGAAAGCCAAGCAAGCACGCCTGCACGTGTACGTCTACGTAGTATGTCGGTGTAATGTACGCATGCGGCGTGGCAAGTGGGTGTTCGATAGTGGCAAAGCTGAGCTGGTGGTGGGCCGGCTAGCTATTGCTGGGCCAGAAGCTCATGCACGCCTGCTTCGCCTCCGTGTGTGGGCCACCGTCTAACGGCCTCCTAGGTAGGCGCCGGACCATGCATGCACGCTGCTAGCTTTGCCTCTTACAGCAAACGAGTAAGTTCGAGCGAGTTGGATTAGCTCAGCTCAGATTATCGAGTGAGCTCAAACTGAGTGAAGCTAAAGATCGAGTCATAGAAAGTGGCTCGTGCTCAGCTTGTATTGATCTCGAGCTAGTTTCGAGCTAAATAATAAGATAATTTTATGAATAAGAAATTTTTCAAACATTATAGCCAACAACACAACATAGAAAACCACTATAAATTTGACTTATTCTCTCCCAACAAAAGACTAGCACTTAATAGATAGGGATCAATGAACTAGAAAGATAAAAAATGAAGGTGCATCTACTCTTAAACTTTGGCCGAGAATAATAGGATATTTGAAAGATGACTGACCATGCATCATATTAAAGCTAAATTTCTCGTGCTTAACAGGCCTTCATGTTTCCTACTAGGTAAAATTGAGAAAAAAATGGCCACCACATATATGACAATAAATTATCCAATTTTCTTTAAATATACATCAAGATTATTTAATATAATTATGTGACATCGAGTTGTCGAGTTAAAATCAAGCGAGCCAGTGTTGGCTCAAGATTAACTCATTTCTCTATCGAGCTACATAAAGTGTTCATATTTAGCTCATTTCTTTTCGAGTCGAGTCAAAATACCAGTCGATCTCGAGTGGCTCACGAGCCTCGAGTTTTTCTTGCAGCCCTAGACACTACTAGTAGTAGCTATAGAGGCCCACCCCTAAAAAAAGTAGATACAGAGGCCAAGGGGAGATTCACAGAGGGCATGTTTAGTTGTAGTTCGCTACAGTAGCCGCGTTGCATACACATCTCCAACCAGCCTGGTCCTTCAAATGCAGCCTCATATGCAGCAGATGCAACCTGTTTGGTTGCCTGCATCACATGGAGGGCACTTAGCACCTGCTGTTTGGTTGCCTTTTTGTGCTTAGGGTGTGAGCAGATGCAAACTTCAACTCTTTGGTTGCAAACAACGTTTGTGTTCTGCTCACTCCATTCAAATGTGGTGGCCTTACCACCACATGATCAGCACAACATCAATCACATATGAGACCAAACAAAGCAAGCAACCAAATGAAATCAAACAAAGCAAGCAAGGAAATGACAGCAAACTACTTAGATTAACAGCAGGGGCATCCTTCTTCCCTGCTCCACGCCAGGGTGTTGCTCCTGGCCAAACTATTAACAAGTTCCCAATACAAGTACCATAAGTCTAGCCACACACCATAAAAGTTCAACACTAATACCTTACTTAACTACGTAGCATGCTTAATGTCACCAACGCAGTTGTGCCTGTTGCAACGAAACCTGCACATGACCGATGAGTCATGGTTGTAGATCTGAACCTTCAGCCCGAGTCCTGAGATGCGCAAAACGACGAGGTCGCTGGGGACGATCCAGTGGTGGCGGCAGAAGTAGTTCCAGCCCCGGCTAAGCACCATGTGCCCCTCGAAGTTCTGGACCTGCATCCAGAACACACACCGCTTGTTCGCTGACAACCTGACCACGCGCGGGAGCTGCTTGATGACCAGCAAGGTGTTCATCACCTTCATGAACTTGCGAGGGACGACGAGCATGGCGAGGTCCTCGTTGTCCTTGATCTGCTGGTAGAATAGCAGCGGCTCCCAGCCCCCCTCCTTGTGGCCCTATCTCGGAGATCGTCCCCTTGAACGAGGCAGGCTCATGAAGGTGAACCTCCCAGGCGGGTCCACCATCCTGAGCCACCTGTTCGTGGGGATGAAATCCTCGGCACCCTCAGCTCCGGCCACTGTCGGTGTCAAAACCG